TAATGGCCGAAGTGATATTTGCAAAACAAATTGGCAAATCTATATTATATACAAAAGTAATTATTAAAATCATTATTATTGAAGAATAGTTTATACAAGTTATGTAGAATCGGAATATTGTTATATAAATCATGTATCTCACCTCTTCACGTGCTTTGACAAAACAGATAATATTTGTCAATCTATGAATAATGCCATTTGTTTTCTGTGCCTAAAAAATATAAAATTAATTAGAGGTTTACAATTTTAATAATATGTGTATAATTTTTAATAATTTTAAATAGACATTTCTATATATATATATATATATACTTTGTAATATATTTGTATATTTTTCTTTATAAAGAACGTATTAAAATATTTTTTTCTATTTTGATATTAGAAAATAATTTTTCTGTTTTTTTATTCGATTTAATTTTGTTTTATAATAGTTTTTCAGCATATTTTACATATATTCTAGATATAATATCACATTCATATTCAATATTATATCAAATAGGTTTTTTGCTTATTTGTAGAAATAATTTTTTCTTATAATTAACTGAAAAAAACTTACTTTGACGCTAATGCTTTCGCAAATGTAATTAAATAATATAAATCTTATTAAATTAATGCCACACGTTATATAGCTGGCGAGTAAACATTTCCATTGAATAGCACCGCCATTGTATATTAAGCATATTATCATTTTATATTGAAAATAAAACATCATCGTAAAAGTGATAAAGTAGGACATTGTCTGCAACGTCATTTGTATTTGAAATAAACTATTTATATCGAGTGTTATTCGACAAAGTTGTGAATGCAGATGCCTAAAAACATTGTATTATATTAATAAATACACACAATAATGAAATACCGAAATATAAATTGTTTTATTTCTGAGATACTTAAATGCATCGTCTGCATTTTATTGATTAATTAAACACTAATTGAAATTTGATCACAAAATAGTATGAAATTTATGTTTAACTTACATTGCATAAGGTATAACAAATTTAAGAATGTATTTTAAATATATTTATTATAATAAAATTAACTTTTTCTTACAAAATGTTATTCTCAACTTTACATTTTAATGTAAATTAAATTACATTGTTATCCACAATATATGAAGGCTGTTATTTATGCTATAGTGATGAGTGACGGGAAACGATATTTTGCACATACATTTCAGTCTGCATTGTTTAGTTTCAGATAGCTGTTTTATAAGAATATTTATTTTATCATATCTATTACCGATATATCTATAATATTTAAAAAATGTCTGTTTATTTTCTTAAACTTATTGCGAAATAAAAATGTATATTATTATTTATTTATATACGAAATTTTATAATTCGAAAAATAATGAGTTATTGAGAGGTAATTATTATTATTATATTAATTTATTAAAATTATATGTACATACCTTAAAATAAACATAATTATTACATCCGTTAAAATATTAATAAAATAAGAATACTCTATGATAATAGAAAACAACAATTTCAAATTTTTTTTATCATTATACGTGTCAATCATGCATATAGAATTAGCAGTCCATATTATATTGATTATTATAAACCACATAATTATTATCCATTTTACCGAATTTTGTATTCTATGGTATTTTTGGATGTTCCAAGTTCTTCTAGAGTATTATCTACTTGATTGAGTTTATTTATTAATATGTTGAATTTCTGAAAATAACAGCATTAAGATAATATTAAATATATAAATAATTTTTATAAATAAGATATAATTAACACATTCACAATGATTAGATAGAAAAGTTATAATATGCGATAAGAATCTTTTTCGCAAAATTCTTTAGTAAATAATTGAATACAAGATAATTTAAAAAAAATATAAAAATTATTATTAATAAAGCTTAATTTTTAATTGCTCTAGAAATTAATGTAATTCAAAATAACATTTATTATGGAAGGCTTTTCTTTATCTATCTATGGAAAAAAATTAATTTGTTCAAATTTATTTATGTTATAATTTGAGTAAATTGATATTTGATTTTTCTTTAAAAAGATAAGAATAACTACAAATTAATAAACCTTTTTTGTCATTTTAATGCTCCGCTTAGATATTGTATTATTATAACAATAAAATGCATAATAATAATAATATAACATTTTGTATAGGAAAAATGTACCTTATGTTGACGAATGAAGATGATTATAGATATCACCGTGTTAAGCAAATTTATTGTTAAATAAAAGTACATCATAACGTTCGGTTTTATTATATTCAGGAAAGAGGTAAACACGTAATAAAGGAGGTAGGCATAGACACTCCATACACTTAACATATATAAGATGCTCAGACGAACTCTCGAATAATTCGAAGGATACCTGAGAATTCCGAAACCGAAGAAAAAAGCAACGAAATAAAAATATTTTAAAGCTTCTTGTATAGTGTCAACCATGATATCGCACAGTTCTTTAGCAATTTCATGTACTACTAAAGTTCTGAGTTACAATACGCAGTAGTGTAATGTGAATTAATCAAGATATTAATTAATTGAATTACATTAGCATAATTGAATCATTAATTACTAAAACAGATGTACGATAGGCTTTGTTACCCATAGAAAGAATAAACAATTATTTTTGAATTGCATTTTTATACTTCTTGCTACATATGATTATATTTATATACATAACATGAGCTAAAGATATAAACAAATTTTATTTCAATAATGAAACATGTTTAATTATATCCATATAAATTTATTTTGTCATTTTATTTATTTTTATCATTGGAAAAGAATGTGATTATTTATTTATTATTATTATTAAATTATTATTATTAAATTATTTATTAAACTTTTTAAAGCATTATATTTTTTGCATTAAAAAATTATTTATGAACTAAATTTCAAGACTTTTATTAATAAAAAAATTTTGAAAAGTGCTTGTTATTAATTAACAATTTTAAAAAAATAATTTTAAAGAGTTTTTATTAAATTTCTTGTAATTTCTTTTGTTTTATTTTAATAAGCATTATTCGTATATAACATGATCAAATATTTTTATGTATTATAATATTATGTTTATACTTCTATTAGAATAATAAATATAATAATACATATAATTGATATGATAACAATGATAATATTATTTACAAACTTTGTAATAAAAAAAAATAAATAAAAAAGCCGGTAAATGTACGATGCGCAGTGCATATAGATCTTATAAGATTTAAACCGTGCCTAAAAAATCTAAAATAAAGAAAAGCGATTAAATGAATAAAATATAAAATGTTTTCTATAGTGTTGATTATGATTGTAAACTCTCGCAATTCTATATATTAATTGTTCCAAGTTGAAGGTAGGTATATAGCGTGCTAATATTACATTAATCAGCATGAAAAGATGACACTTGATTAGATCGTTGCATTAGTGTCGTTAAAATATGACGCAATAACATGGATGTACTTTGTTGAGATAATCGTTACTTGCACAATGTCATAACAATTATTTTCAGACATTAAGAATTTTTTCAGTTTTTATATATTTTTTTGTCATCGTCTTATTATGTACATAAAATGCTCATATCATTTATAATACGTTATCATTAGTATAATTTTTAAACAATGCAAGTACAAAAAATTAAAATTACTAAAAACATTTATTAGCAATTATAAATAATAAAATATGGTATAATATCTAAATCTTTGAAAAATTCGAAGTTTTTTAGATTATTTAAATTATGTACATTATTTTAATTCGCCGAATTTCTATTATGTATATAATTTTAATTCTTAATTTAATATAATTTAATCTATCTTTTAAAAAAAGACATTTGTCAATCTGGGTTTCGACATGCAAAGTTGCAATTATTTCTCAGAGCAATTTGGATTATTCTATTGAAATAAAGATGAGATAATTGCGTAAAATTTACACTGCATATTTTATTAATTCGTTTCAAACATTGCGACTTGTCATATGATTGTATAAAATTTAATCGATTACGTATAATTGTGTATAAACATTAAAACCGCTATTTTTAGAATAAAAATAGAGATAGCAAAAATTGTGGACAAGTTCTTAGGATATTTGTATTAATTAATCCGCGCAAAGATATCGAGAAATAATAATCATAAACGTCCTATTCTCGTAAAAAACACTTTGAAGATTTAATTTATGTATAAACATATATCGCAATTTTTCATGTACCTATAAACATCTGTATTATCAGAATTAAATCATTCGCGTGAAATTAATAGATGATTAATAAATCGTAACCGTTCAATTTTCACAGTACAATGGAATCATTAAAATCATTAAAAAATAGATTAATTATAATCCACACGTGACACATTTTACGATGACATATCGAATTGTCTAATCTAAATAATTCGCGAAATCGAAAAATCATTAAAAATAAGAATTAACCAGAATTGCTCTTTCTTCAATGAAAGACGAGACAGAGAGAGAGACACTCGCAAGTTGATCTCCTGTCCTCTTTTTCTCGTCGCATCCTTCTCGCGTTATCTTCAATCTTCACGCTCGACTGAGCACGGCTCTGGAACTCGAGACGCGTCCGAAATTCGATACCCACACAAACACTGGGGCAAAAAAATGTATCCTCGGACGACCTTGCTTTGTTTCGACGCCGCGCGTTGCTAAACATGATCGTCGTACATACCAGTGTACATTCCAGCTGTCATCGGGTCCCTTATCGAGCATTCCTGCGGTGATTTGTTTCCATTCACACACACAACTTTTTCTTTCATACATTTAGCGATCTATATTCGCGATTGCATTCATTCAAGGCGTGTTTGACATCGATTTCTGAATTATCGCAATTTCTCGTATCATTTTGAAATATTAGAACGATGAATGTTTGAGATTATAATTATTAAAAGAATTAATTAATTATAATGATCGATTTGATTAGTAGTGATATATCTTATTTTGCGTCTTATAACTCTATATTTAATCGTAAGATGTATTTATAATGATATCAAATGTATTTATAAAAATTGTCTAAGTTCTGAAATTTTGCTTTAGGTCGCTGTGTTTTCGAGATAAAATAAGAAAAGAACCTCTATTCTGAGAACTGGTGACATATTATATTATCTCTCTTAGAAGCTTTTCGATGTACAGGAGTATCCATTTGAATTATTATAACAATAATAGAAAGTATCCCAACGAAGCACTGAAAGTAAATATAAAATATTATTATTCGAAATTGCTTTGCTACACTCTAATTTTTATATTACAATAAGATTTTGTAATCTACAAATATAAATAGTAGTAGAAACTGACCTTAAAAAGAAACTTATGGCCAAAATAAAATAGACCCATTCCACTAAATTTTAACGGCTGAAGTGATATTTGCAAAACAAATTGACAAATCTGTGTTACATGTACAAAAGTGATTATATTATAAGTTTTTTTAGAATTAGAAGATTTTTATAAATCATATATCTCACCTCTTCGCGTGCTTTTGCAAAACAGATATTTGACAATTTATGAATAATACCTTCTGTCTTCCGCGCCTAAAAAAGATAAAATTAATTATAATATGTTTATAATCTTAAATATAACAATATAAATGTACAAGTTTCAATAATTTTGAATAGAATATTTTATATATGTAATTTTCTCTTTCTTAAAAACATTAAATTTTTTTATTTTTAAATTTGAAAATATAAATTTTCTTTTTCTTTTTTCCTTATTGATTCAATCGTTTTAATATAATTTTTCATTGTTATTTTTGACGTAATATTATATCAAATAGTTTTTTTCTCATCTGTAAGGACATTCTTTTTTTAATTCAAATATCTTACTTTAGCGCTAACACTTTCGCAGATATAGTTTAATGTTACAAGTCTTGTCAAATTGATGGCACACCACATGTTGCTGGGAAGTAAACATTTCCACTGAATGGCACCACCATTGTACATTAAACATAGCATTAAGTGATATTGGGAATAAAGCATCGTCGTCAAACTGACAAAGTAGGTCATTGTCTGCAGAGTCATTTGTATTTCGAATAAACCATTTATATCGAGTGCTATTCGGCGAAGTTGCGAATGCAGATGCCTAAAAAATAAATATTTTATTGTATTAAGAAAAACACATTGGTCTGTTTTGGAGGCAATTGCAGTATACATCGCAATTTAGACTGAAAGATTTATTTTAACGTAAAATAGCATAAAATCAATTTGCATTACGTAAGTGTAAAATTTATAAAATTATGTATGAATTAAATAAATTTATTTATTTATGAATAATAAAATTATTTTCTTTCTTTCGAATGTTATTTTCAATTTTTTATTTTAACATATTCATATATATACATATGTATATCAAATTACATAGTTATCCATAATATATGCTTGCGATTTTCTGTATTTTGGATATAGTGAGGAATTACAAGACAAGAATTTTTACACATCCATCTCATTGTCCGTCCACATTTTTAGTTTTTGATAGTTGGTCAATTATGTTATTTATTTTATCATATCTAGTACCGATATACCTGTAATTTTATAAAATTTGAAAGGAATGTTTTTAATTTCTCTAACAATAAGCTTGTTGCAAGATAAACAAATATCTTGAATATAAATTATCTCAAATTTGAATATAAATACAAAGTTTTTAATATATAATTTATGTAAAGTATATGTATTATATATATACATATATATGTATTTGTATAAAGAATTTGTATTTAATGTGTTATATAGAATATAGATCAACTGTGTGTACGTGTACTACAATAAATATAATAAGTTAATAAATAATAAAATTAATTAAATAAATGTTTAAAATTATATTTAGATACTATTTTAATCATTTTTAATTTTCACATTTAGAAAATTAATTGATATAAGTAATCTAGTCTAAAATAATAATTACTATTAAATAATTTTATATATGATAAAATCAAATTTTTATAGAAACCTTAAAAACATAATCATTATATCTATTAAAATGTTGATAAACATAGAATAATCTATGATTATTAGATATAAATATATAAAGCCTTTTGTGTCATTAAACATTTCCCTGATGCATGCAGAATCAAGATTCCATGTTATAATGATTATTATAAACCACATAATTATTATCCACATTATTGAATTTTGCATTCTACGATATTCTTTAGATGTTCCAAGCTCTTCTAATGTATCGTCCACTTGATTTAGTTTGTTTATTAATAAGTTTAATTTCTGAAAATAACAACGGTAAAAATATAATTAAAACTATAAAGAATTTTTATAAATAAATTACACTAATACCATTTGCGCAATGATCAGATAATAAAGTAGTAATATATATGTATAATAAAATTTTTTTTCATAAAATTCTTTATTAAATTGTTCGATGCAAGACATTTAAAAACAAAATTTATTAACTGAGTTTAATATTTTTATTGCTATAGATGCTTTGGTTTGCCAAAAATCAATGTTTCAAAAAATAACATTTCTTATCATTTATTATACTCCGCCAATATTTTATATGGAAAAAATATATACCTTATGTTCGCAAATGGTGATGATTATAGATATCGTCATTACAAAAACATTCATTATTAACATAAAGAAAACCATAAAGACTGTTATACGACTCAGCATAAAGATAAACGAATAATAAAACAGGTAAGCATAAATACTCCATACACTTAATATATAAAAGATACTCAAGCGAACTCTCGGATAATTTAATGGATATCTGAGAATTCCGAAACCAAAAAGAAATGTAACGAAATAATAAGAATTTAAAGCTTCTTGTATAGTATCGACCATGATATCACACTACTCGCTCTCACAGTTCCATATAACTATCAAAGTTTGGAGTTAAATATAGTACTGTACAATGCAAGTGTAATATGTCTTCATAATGACAATAAGATAACACTTAATTTAATTGCATTTGCATTATTGAATCATTGGTCAATCATATAAAATATAGATACAATAAAATTGAATCGATCTTTATACAAAATTTTAATTATTTTTAGTTGCATTTCTAATATTCTTTGTATTCTACTTATTATAATTATACGTCACATAATAAGCACAGAGAAATATATAAACAGATAAAATATATATATCATTAATAAAACAAATTTAATTTTATTAATTAATTTTATTATTTAATTATTTATTTTTGTGTTACAAGTTTATCATGTTAGAGAGAATTGTGATTATTTATTTATACATATACATATATCTTTTATATTCTAGCATGCGGAACAAGTTACATTTTCTCTATTCGAACCTATTTGATATATTGGTTCATTCATTTGAATTATTAAGATTATAATAGAGATCATCCAAATGAGAAACTGAAAATAAACGTTAAATGTAACTATTCGAAAATTTCCTTACTAAAGTTAAATTTTGTATTATAATATAATTTGATTTTTACAAATATAGAGTATATAATATTAAAATCTAACCTTCCAAAGAAATTTGTGGCCAAAGTAAAATAAACCCATTCCGCTAAATTTTAACGGTCGAAGTGTTATTTGTAAAACAAAATGCAAAATCTATATTATATATAAAAGTGATTACATTATCGAAGAAGAATTTATACAAGTTCATTAGAATTGTATAAGATTGTTGAATCATTTATCTTACCTCTTCGCGTACATTGGCAAAACAGATAATATTTGTTAATTTATGAATAATGTCCTTTGTCTTTTGTGCCTAAAAATATAAAATTAATTATAATGTTTATAATCTCAATAATAATTACATAATTTTCAATAATTTTATATTGTCTCTTATATAAAATAAAATTACAAATGTCTTTTTTTACATGAACCAGCAGTTAATAAAATTTTTTTATTTTTAAAAATAATTATTTTAATTTTTTTTCTCTTTTTCTTTGACTCAGTTCTATTAAAATTTTTCAATATTATATTTTAGATTTGATATTATTTTTAGTAACTTTTTGCTTATTAAATATGTAAATGTGTGAGAATATTTTTTTGACAATTACATATAATTCATCTTACTTTGCCGCTAACATTTTCGCACATGTTGTTTAATAATATGATCCTTATTAAATCGAAAGTACTGTACAGGTTACAAAGTATATATTTCCAATGGGTATAACCCTTTATTAAGTATAACACTACGGGATATTGAAAATAAAACATTGTCGTTATGGAGACGAAATAGGACAATGTCTGCAAAGTCATTTGCATTTTGAATAAATTATTTATATTAAGTGCTACTCGAGATAGTTGCGAATGAAGATGCCTAAAAAACATTGAATTACAATAATTAATGCACACGTTATAGAAAAATCGGAATATAATTCTGAAACAATTATATGCATCGTCAGCAGTTCATTGAAAAAAATCAAGCACAATAAGCATATTTACATCAAAAGATCTATTTTATAATAACTTGCTAACTTGCATCACGTTAGAGTGCGAAATTAACCCAAATTATAACTATATTGAATAAATTCATTTATTTAGAATATATTAATTTCAGAAATTTTAATTTTGAAATTAATAATACAAAAATAATAAATAATACAAAAATAAGTAATTTGAAAGGTAATATAAAAATGCCCTCAAAATTAATACAGTAATATAGTAAATAAATAATTATATATACATTAACAATAGATATGTATATTTACACCACTTTAATTGATAATATATATTATTGCTTTTTATAAAAAATGATCTGCACTTTATTTGTGTCATCTTATTGTTATAGCGTATATTCAATTACATTGTAATCCATAATATACGCTTTTGATTTATTTTTCTATGAACATAATGGCCAATGACGAGAGACGAATTTCTCCACGTGCATCTTAGTCCATTCTCTTCAGTTTTTGACAATTGTATAATATAGTCATTTATTTTATCATATCTAGTACCAATATATCTGCAAAAAAAGAACGCGTGTTAATTCTTTTAAACTATATGTTGTAAGGTAGGATATTAGCCTATATCGTTACATTTTTATACAATATTTCATAATTAGACTATTATATATTAAAAAAAAGTTTGCATATCTATATTAAATCAAATTGAATACTTAAAGTTCCTAGTGATATTTAAAATAGGAACGATATATTAAATTCGACCCAAACTGAAACCCAAAATAAAATAAAAATTTTCTTTTGCTATAGTTTTGGTCGAATTTAATAGTTCGTTCCTATCCATATTAAATTAAGAAATATAGATTTAATGTGACACAGTACATATTTTTGTGTGCTCTTCGTGCACAATACAAAATAAAAAAATTAAAAAAAGGATGGAATTTATATTTTAGTAATGCATTCATACATAATTTGAATATTCAAAAATTTATTAATTTGAATTATTCCGACTAAGTAAATATTTAATGATTTCAATGTAAAAATACATATACATATATGTATTATATATATACAAACCTTATAAGAAACATAACCATTAGATCTATTAAAATATTGATATAGTAAGAATAACTTAAAATAAATGCGAAAAATAATGATTGTATATAATTAATTGATTCGCCATAGCATATAATAGCAGTAGTCAATTCTATACAGATTGTTATAAACCATATAATTATTATGCATATTATTGAGTTTCGCATTCTACAATATTCTTTGGGTGTTCCGAGCTCTTCTAGTGTATCGTCCACTTGATTGAGTTTGTTTATTAGTACGCTGAAATTCTAGAAGAAAGAAAGTGTAAAAAATTATAAAAAATGTTTGTAAATTATTTATACAAATAATATATGTGCAATAATTAAATAATAAAGCAATAATGTGAATATTTATTGTAAAACTTTTTCTTAAATGGTTTTAAGTAATACGCATTTAAAAATGTACAATTTATTAATTGATATTAATTCTTCTGTTGTTTCGTAAATAAATTTGTTGCAAAATTATATCTTTTTTCTATGGAAATATAAGACTTTATTTTATGTATATATGAAATGAATAAATTTAATTAAATTTACTTTGTCAAAATCAAAGTAAATTTGATTTCTTTCCAAATAAGTAAAAGTTTCCACTATAAACACTCAAATTAATAGACAATATTTTACCCTGCTATTATTTATTCAATTTAGATGTGCTATTATTTTTATAACATATTTTAAATATGAAAAATTTACCTTATGTTCGCGAATAGTGATGACTATAGTGATCGTTGTCACAAGCAGATTTGTTGCCAAGTAAAAGTAAATTATAAAAGTGTTTAAAGTGTATCTCTCCTTTCCTAAAATATTAGGATTCAAAAAAGTGATTAATACGTAATATAAAACGTAGGCATAAATACTCCATACACACAGTATATAACAAATGCTCAAGCGAACTTTGAGGTAATCTAAAGGATATCTGTAAATTCCAAAACCA